TGAAAACTTCGTGTTTTGAAATAAGACCAATTATGTACATTACACAAAAATTAACCAGTTACATAAAATGTTGGATTTACACACATACTGTTACATAAATTTGTACATTGGAGATTTTTACAAGAAATAGTAAAAATAAAAGTTTTAAAATTTGTATTAAATCTCGGATATTTTGAATGCTTGACTGAGATGACTTTAGGGATTCTTATTTTCTCTATTTTATTACTTTTATGAAGGATTTTTACTGACCATTAAGTGTTAAAAATGATTTTTTTTATTTTTCATATGACTACAGCTATCACAGATGTAAAATGTTGTGTTAAAATGACCATTAGGGTGAATTTTGGATATTTAGGCAACGAAATGAGATTTTCTTATTTTTGAATTGATATTTGTCATACCACAGGGGTCTGGAATCGTTTATATAAGCCAAACATATATGTAATCAAATATAACAGCTCTTGTTTTGAAAAGATGAAATTATTTTCTTTATAATTTCATCTATCTGAAAAGCTGATCATTACACTTATTTGAAAAGTTGACCTTACTGAAACAGTACGTACATACAATGAATCAAATCAAGTATAATTGTCAATTAAAATGCATGTAAAAAGAAGAAAATGGACAATAGGCAAGAATTAATAATCCCATTAAAATCATATCCTAACTGACTTCCACTACGGAAGCGTAAACGGTGATATAATGTTTAAGAGCTTGGAAATCGAAAACCAGTATTAACTATTCAGTTTCTATATAGAATGTAAAATATAAAATGTTATAATGTAAGCTTTTGTAAACCCACAGACACGACATGCGACGAATTTAACTCTATACACTATTTGATAACCCAGTATTGATACAAAGCGTCGATTATTCTTATTTTCTCTATTTTATTCTTTTCCCAAACACTCTACTACAAAATGAAACATATACCGAGGCAACCAATAAAGAGAAAAGCTTTGGTAATTGTAACGATGGATATAACATATCATTTAATAACACCTTCGGTTATATCATTATAAAGGGCACATATATGTAAATACGTATTATAATAATTAAAGGTCATGTCTCATATAGATAAAGAGAAATGTAACAATCCAGACATCTTTCTAGTTATGTGAAGAAACATTTGAGTAACGAATGTCGTACAAAACGCAATTGAATTCTTAGGAAAATTGTACAGATATTTTGACAAGAGATTTGTCACTATTGCAGGAAAGCCAGCTAAAAATGTGAGAATCTTTCAAATCTGAGAGACAGAGGCAGTTGTTACATTAATGTGAATGCATTTTTCACTTTAATGTCACTTTAATGTCACATTTAACACAGATAATCTTTGATAAGGTGACACAATGTTTCATCCCTTTTAAAAGGTTGCCACTAAAGTCTTGCCTTCACCATTCTCCGTCACGCAAGGAATTTGCACACAAAAAATGTTTCATCTATATATGGACATATCAAAATTATATTTAAACGCCAAGATTTCGTCTTCTAATTCAACTTTCATTCTTATACCGACTGTTTTTCTTTACAAGAAACATTTCACCATAGACCTAAACGTTCATGTTGGCACTAAATTAGTTTAAGCAATCAATGGAATATTGAAAAACAATATCAAACTTAATGGAATGAAAGATTGGCTTAGTCAACAGGGATCAATTTCAATGATAATCTAGCTAAATAAAAACAATCTTACGAGGAATTCAACTACAGTTTAGCTATTTCTCTTCTTAATTTATAAAGGAAATATAAATTTATTCTTATAAAATATATCTATGTTAGTGAGTTCTAATACAATGCTCGATATATAAAACTACCGCGAGATTAAAATAATGATTATGTTATCATTCCTATAGTACCTATAACCTAACATTGTATTTTTTATATACGATATATGTACGTCCAAGCTTTCTTTAAATGCGGTATGACCGTACAGACATTCAAGTTTAAGTAGTGAAAAGGCAATCTATTTCATCTCTATTCAGTCTGTATTGAGATTTACAGTGGCAATCTAAGCATGCAGTGAATTACTGCTGGATTGAATTGAATGTGAAAGCTTCCAGGCAATAAACCTTAAATTACATGACGTTAGATTGAAAACAGGATATGACTCTTTCGTAGAATTTATGTCAGCACGAAATACGCAGAAGTGTCAGTGATGAAACAAACAATATCGTCAAAACCGTTGTTATACTCACACTTTTAACAAACTTTAAAAATGTAATATTCGATAATGACATTCTTTAAAAATTTCTTAACATTGAAGTTGTGTTTATTTCAACTATTGATCTATTCAGTACAAAAGCGAAAACATCTTCTGTAAAAATTATAAACCGACTCGGAGGTGATTCTAAATTTTTCCGGAAGTGGCTTTATATTTGTTTTCTTCATGGAAATATCATAAAAATGTGATATTACATGTGTTTTCATTTGATATGTAGTAGATATAAGCCGAACATTGTCCAGTATGTAAAATATTGAATTTCATGAGGCGCGTAGCGCCGAAGGGAATTCAATATTTTACTTATTGGTCAGTTTGAGGCTTATTACTTACTTAAATTACAATCAAATACAGTCGAGACTGTCATATGTGACTTTCCAAGGGACCTTCAGAAAAAGGTCGCATATGACAGGGAGTCTCTAAATACAGTCTCAATATCATCTAACTGTCTATATACCAATGTGACTTAAAGAACATTGATATTGTTACTGTGATCACGTATCATGTTAGCCATCGAAAAATTAGACATTATGTATCTTGTGCTAGAAATGTACAATTTTTATGTTTTAGTATTTTTTTTCTTACCTGCAAAACCCTATAGGTAGCCTCTAAAATAACAAAATGTCCGAAGCATGAAAACTTCGTGTTTTGAAATAAGACCAATTATGTACATTACACAAAATTAACCAGTTACATAAAATGTTGGATTTACACACATACTGTTACATAAATTTGTACATTGGAGATTTTTACAAGAAATAGTAAAAATAAAAGTTTTAAAATTTGTATTAAATCTCGGATATTTTGAATGCTTGACTGAGATGACTTTAGGGATTCTTATTTTCTCTATTTTATTACTTTTATGAAGGATTTTTACTGACCATTAAGTGTTAAAAATGATTTTTTTATTTTTCATATGACTACAGCTATCACAGATGTAAAATGTTGTGTTACAATGACCATTAGGGTGAATTTTGGATATTTACGCAACGAAATGAGATTTTCTTATTTTTGAATTGATATTTGTCATACCACAGGGGTCTGGAATCGTTTATATAAGCCAAACATATATGTAATCAAATATAACAGCTCTTGTTTTGAAAAGATGAAATTATTTTCTTTATAATTTCATCTATCTGAAAAGCTGATCATTACACTTATTTGAAAAGTTGACCTTACTGAAACAGTACGTACATACAATGAATCAAATCAAGTATAATTGTCAATTAAAATGCATGTAAAAAGAAGAAAATGGACAATAGGCAAGAATTAATAATCCCATTAAAATCATATCCTAACTGACTTCCACTACGGAAGCGTAAACGGTGATATAATGTTTAAGAGCTTGGAAATCGAAAACCAGTATGCTTGAAAATAGAATTCGTGAAATGAGCAAAGAAATTATCGACAGATAACAATTATTGTTTTTTTTTAGTAAAATTCTGTAAAATACGTAATGGGCAAAGGAAAAACTTTGCATTACCCGTGTTAACTTACATTTTATTTAATCATTTATTTTTCTTTAATTTCGTTGATTTTCCACAAAATCCTGTGGTCATTGAAGCTTCTTTCACTACACGGCACGCTCTCTAATACTTAATGTGTTACACAATTAATATTGGACTTACACGTTAATATTGGACACCTACATGTACTGTATTAAAAATACAGTACTGTCAAAACAAAGGAATGACTTCACAGTAGTAATTTAAAAACTGATATAGTATGTAAATATTCTACAAATCTCAAGGTTCATGTGAGCAATATAACATACTAGAGATTAGTTTAACGTATGATTATCGAACAATATAAAATGCATTGATTCATGTAAAACGCACTGAATAGCCAAAAACAAACTTTCCGCAGGCAGTAAAGTAAAAGGTTCATGATGGTTTCTGACAGACAGCAATAGTACTAAAATAACAACAACAACAACAAAAAACAAAAAAACAAAAAAACAACCCCAAAAGCAAGCAAGCAAACATACAAACAAAACAAATCATTATGAAATCCACTGACGCCACTTAACAAACACACATTTTATGACTTGCTAGATAAAACAAAACAACAACAGCAGAAAAACACAACAACAGCAAAAAAATCACTGAAAAACAACAAGAGCAGCAACGAAAACAACAAATTGGTTTGACAGAATGTTAAATCTATCGACGTCATATGATTGATAACTATTTATCAGATTTTGTTTAGCACAGTCAGAAATATATAGGTCTTGGAAGGTTTCCTTCCGCCCGTAGGGAGAATCAGACAAATTAAGTAATCTGTTTTAAGAAAAGTGTTACCGGATTAATTTAAGACTTTGTATTGAATTCAAGTAGATTGAATAGGTTTCACAGTATATATTTTGTATGAATTATACGGATATTCAACCTACAGAAAACATAAATTATATTTAACAGCTCGGTTTAAAGAGTGAAATAATTTGTTTGTTTATTTTGCTGTGTTTTCTATTTGTACGTCGTTAGCAGCTCTGTGTGTCATATATCGACGGTCGATCCGAATGAACGTTTTATCTGAATAACTAACCAGAAGTTAACCAATTTATTTGCACGTGAGCCACTAAAACTAATCCAACAAGATTTCTGATCCTCAATGACAGACAAAGGAACATTAAACTCCATTTTCGAGAGTATTTGTGAGGGAGAAATTATGCCTCGACCAAGGATTTTACCAGAGACAACTCGTGTATGACAGTACGATTATACGAACTAAATGTGTTATATAAAATGAAATATTACCATAACAACATGTATATACTTACTACAAGACAGCTCCTACCATTGTCCCAAGTATAATGAGCAAACTAGAAAAAAAAGAAACACAGTGTTGCTTATTTTATCAAGATATATTATGCAAAAATTTGATATATGAAATTATTGATAATTGCTATTCAGTTTCTATATAGAATGTAAAATATAAAATGTTATAATGTAAGCTTTTGTAAACCCACAGACACGACATGCGACGAATTTAACTCTATACACTATTTGATAACCCAGTATTGATACAAAGCGTCGATTACACAACTGGCAGTGTTCATTGCAAGGACAACATAAACTTGACCAGTGATAGGGAACACAGCTTCACCAACAATGTTTGAGCGTTCTCTTATTCAAATAAGCCATGCACTAAAGGATGTTCTAGATTTCAATTGCTTATTTCAGGAACATAGTTTACCGAAACTAAAGCATAGTATTTCTTAAAAAGTTCCTTCCAGGGTAAGGCGTGAATACTATACTATCCATTTTATGTTCATTAATAAACGAAGATGAACTTATTATTACAGTGAATGCAACTTTTATTCATTTACAAAAGTAAAATACTCGCATATAAAATTGTTGTTTTGTCCTAAAGATCAAATTGCTATTATCGAATTCAAAATATTTTATTCAATCTGGAAGAATGGAAATAGGTATATGGAATAAAGTGAAATGTTGTTACATACTATGTGTACATGTATATTGTGTGTTAATAAATGTAACTGGAACATACAGTACAACAATCAATTGGCATAAAGAACAAACAAATATAAAAATAAGCATTTTTTCCTCATACACCTTCCCTGCAAATGATCATAGTATTCATATTTGATGCCACAAAATTGTCCCTAGATAAACCTTGACAATATCCATATATCAGAATGGTAACACATCGTACTGAATAACGTAATTGCCGAGGGACATGAATGTATATTTTCGATCTTTTATTAGAAAAGTGAATTAACACCTCTCAATTGAATCTTATAATCACACCAAACTCTTTTACGAGCAATATTCCCCCAAGGATTTCCAAATAGCTTATTAATTGATAATAACTAATGGCAATTCATGCATTTAGGCAGATAAAAATTAAACATAATAAAGAGTTTGAAATAAAACGATAAATATATATAACGCAATAACCTAATGCCTTAATTCTGATACCTCAAAACCTGAGAAACAAGCAAAAGATATTAACATAAAAATGGTTGCATAAAAAATAAGATAAAGAAAAAAAACCCCACAATTTTCACATAGTAAGATCTTTTGTAGACATAACTCAACACATCAATTTATCAGAAATACTGCCATATAACAAAAAAACAAAAAGAAAAAAATTTAAACAGATGAAAATAAAGTAAAAAGAACAAGTAATTTATATATTTTGAAATTGACCCTTTCATATCGTATGCTTTGCATGTTTGATATTTAAAAGTAATCATTTATAACACCCGAGGTAAGCCAAAGCATTTATGCCGGACCTAAACTGTGTTGGTCCGCCGTGACACAAAACCAAACAAAAACAATCTTGTCATAAAGTGATATATTGACTTACCAAGATTCCGGAACTTTTGACGACAGGAAATTGGCATGGTGAAACCCTAAAATATAGAGTGTAAATGATCTGAATGAAATATATACATGTAATAAGTATATTCGTTCAAGGGCATGTTTTTAATGCAGCATGCCACTTATTGCATCCTAATTTGTATGAAAATTTAGAAAAGGTATTTAAAAATGGAAACTGTGAAGTGAGCAAAAACAATACACACTCATTGCAAAAGAAGCCGACAATACACGAGAGTTACCGCTACCGAAAAGAGGTCAAATATGAAACAAAATCGTTACTGCGTTATCCAGACAGTAGAAATATGATACAAATATTACCAAATGAGTCATAAGTGGCACTGTTCATGATCTTGAATCTGTTTACCTGTCTTAAAATTATTTCACTTTTATCAAGGTTGTATTCGTCCCCATTTTTGCTCATCTGGAGGCATGCAGCTTTATATTATTTGATCCGTCATATATTCTAATACAAATTACGTAAACGGTTATATTGCCTATACCACTTCTTCAATTTAGTTTGTGTCTTTCGTTTTATGTTACAAAAATAAGTAGCAAACATTTTCGATGGACAGATAATTTAACTTGTCTGAAAATCATTTTACATTTTAGTTTATAAAACTGTTAAATAATTATAATAGTTGATTTGATATCAAGCGGTATATGGTCGAATCTTGTTAAAAGTGGAGGAAATTTTCGCTAATTTAAATTTTTAATATGTTTGACGAAAGTATAAGTTGTCTCATAGACAAGGCTTCTTAACGATGTTTATAATTAAATAAGACATCATTTATTAAATTAGGGTTAAATTTGTACTTATTAAGATATTATATTTTGAATATTTGATGGTCGTTATATCATAAATCATCACATTTAATGTACATCTTTCTAAACTGATATACATTTAAAAGAGAGCAATATATGATTGCTACTTTGCTTTGTTGTTTAATTTGACATTAAGTACATGGAAACTAATCAAATGTAACATTCATTTATGTATACATTCGAAAACAGTTTTCACTGCCAACATGAATCTGGGGGATAGATTATATCTTACTCAACCAAAATGAAAAATACCCAAGAAAATGTCTCTTCATGCCAAACCTATTTTCGGAATTACAATTGTATAACCCTGTAAACATTTTGAAGAATACTTTCGAACACAACCGCAGTTATGTATTTATGATCGCTCATTATTGCCAATTACACACATTCCAGTCACGTGTTCTGTTTTTATTTTACTTAAAGAATTTTTCCAAGGTACCATACTTTACGGATTACAGGAAACAATTACGACACAAGTTGTTCATTTAGACTCTTATTAAACAGCTTTTAAAATGTAGCAAATAAACTCCAAGCGTTTGCACCATGTATTCTCCCCCCAAAATCGTTATTGGACCCAGTCTTAAAAATAAACTCTAATATTTGTCTTCAAGTCCAAAGATTCTATAACAAATACCTTTTGTATTCCGCACGCGTCTTGCCCAGTATTGACAAATGTGTACTTGTGCAACAGAATTCAGTATTGTACTCAACAAAGTATAACAAAGTAATTACATGTATATCAAAAAAATTATCAAAGAGCGTTTTTACGTTTTAACGATATTGTGGTAAGCTGTATATAATTTTTTTCTTTTTTAAATAGCAACGAGTGTGATTATGTTTTATCACATGATATAATAAGACTTTATTACATGGAATGCAGGCAATATCGCCTAACTATAAGCTCAATGTTTTAAGTATCACCAAATGGTGTTACATATGTAGGTGGCGTCATGACATTTTATATTAAGTGTGTGTTTTTATAATGATTTCTATTAGAATATCACGAGGTGTAAACGCGGAAACTTCATTGGTTATATTTTGTAATTTGTGGAATAAAAAGAAATAGTTACTTAATAGTCATTTAATATTAAAAACAGAGACGTAATGTATCAAAATTTAAGCGTAAATCTGCAAAGCAATCTTTTCGATATTGATTACTATAATTAAACGCAAACTTCAAGGAGAAATGCTTATTCAACCGATGGTACTGCTGCGTTTTACTTTTTTCTGATAAATTTCATAATTCTAATAGAAAAAATGCTTGATGACGTTAGAATATCGGCATAATATTAGAATTTTTAAAAATATGTGTTTTCTGTTGTAACTAGTAACTTAATTTATTCTGTTCTTTTTTCTAAAACACGCCAACCACAACCACCGAAAGTACTTTTCATTTTAAGGTAGAACGCGACATTTTGCGAACTTTCGAGTACGTTACAGATTATTCTCTGTCTATTTTACAGCTTTGCATTTGGAGTTTATATCTCCATAAATTATCATTTCAAAATGTTGAGTATAATATAAATACGCAAAATGTATATAGAATAAATAATTTACGTCTTACATAAAAGCTGCGCACACATTACGAAGCAGAGATTAATTTATTTTAAACACATTGAAATTAAAAGATCCCTCAACTTTGATAACAAAATACATTTAGAATCTCTATTTATCTCAGTTTATATAGTTTTATTTCAAACAGAATGATTAATGCCTAATATTTATTATTCCTTTTAACATGTGGATTCATTTCCTCTGTTTTGGTATTCAGTTTTCACTATAGATCGAACAAAAAAGGGGTAACATTTTCTATTGTGCGTTTTATATACAGGGCTGAACCAAAAAAAAATATATTTATTTGAACTTTACAATATATTCAATCTGAAATGAAAAGAAGACACGAATAGATGAATGTAATTCGATAAGCAGTTTTAAGCAATGCCTTTACAATGTAATCCAATAAGAATGTAACATAATTTAACTAAGACCATGAAAAATCGATTAAGAATTAATTTGTACTTTGATAATTCACTGTAACATCCGTATACTATTAAAATTATTCTTACCTAGGTTGCCACTTTCAAGTCTAATAACATCAAATTAATATCATTATTTGTTAGCACAGTAATGTTTTAGGGATCGACACGAGCTAGCTAAGCAAATAATTCCCTATGAACTTTACGTAGCATTGGGTGCATAGCTTCCTCGAATATACTGCATATTTCTAAGAATTAAGAATTCATTTAGTTGAGAATACAATATTTCAATACTGGGAAGCAGACAAATTGAATTACGGCGTCCTCACTTGATTGGAATTTTTATCCAATCTATCAAATATATTGACGGGTTCTACGGCATTTATCACAATAATAATATTGCGATTGTTTTATGATGTCTGGTATGACAAATGCCGTTATTTTTTAAATATAAACACGTATTTTCTTTTAGACAGGAACATTTATTGATTACAGAAAATGTTAAATAGCTAGAAGCAATACTTTTACATAAAAATGGTCTTTAAATGATCTAAACATAGTGTAACGCTGAGTATTTCCTGTCAAATATCATGCAACCAATGAGTTATTTTACTATTATGCAGTTCAACGTCTTTAAATCGTTAGATTTGAAGTTAATTGATGAAAAGTGTTACTTAAAATTTACGGAAATTAGACATTATTATATTGAAATGAGAAAAAAATATACATAAGCATTAACAACAATGGGTTGAAATTGGAAATGATAATATCTTTTTCAAACAAACGTTTGTACAAGTTTGTATTGACATTGCAAAAACCTGTACCTTTCTTTCGACAATATAATCAACAAAATCAACAGGTATAAAAATAATCGTTGGTTGTAGTTGATTATTTCTGTAGAGTAGTCATTGCACACCAGTAATATCTTGGCAATGACCAGGAAATAAAACAATAAAATATAGACTATTTAGAAACACATATTTAGGAAAAGTTCATACGCTCTTTACGAGTGTATAATGGCATGTTATTAGAAAGGTACAAAGGAATGCTAATTGAACAAAACTTGCAGAGTTTCACTGCACTTACGCGCTATTTCTTGGCATTTCGATAGCACAACAACCAGCAGCTGTCACTTCTTTTGACACATGATGAAAACTGTTCATTTTGTATTCCTTTAACTAACGTTGATTCAATATTCTTTTTAAAATAGGTTTTGAAATTATCAAAAGTGTATGGCATTACATTTTCATTACGTACTGCTTAACTGCACGATAAAAACAAAAGTTCACTTTGATAACTATCTGAAAATAATTGTTAGACTTTACTGAAATATAATATATATCTATATAGACTTAAATGCAAAACTTCGATATGTTCAATGACAACATTGTACGTCAAAGAAAATTATTTGGCCAATGTTAGACTGTGTTTTAGAAGTGTTATTTATAGTGACATGATGTTATTATATTTTTTCACGTACGCGGAACATCAAGCATTTTCATAAGTGTTTCAGTTTCGGCTGACGGAAGTTTGATGCCAAAAACAACTGAGTTATGTCTAGTCTGAAGAAGATTTTTCACCAAAAGAAGGAACTAAATATTGATAAATTAAGAGGGACATGCTATGCATCTTTTTGTTCCTAACCTTACAGGTGTACCTACAGACGAGAAATATTTTAAGAAAACATCCATTTAGCTAATTACGATAGAATATGATTAGGAAATTTAACCAAACGCTGATATGTGTCTAGATTTAAAGACAACTGGTAATGCACGCATGATTTTATGTCACGTTTGGATGAAAAGATAAAACAACAACACAATTTATCACTTTAATAAGTTTTATCAGTTGATATGTTTCATTTGGCAATCATGTACGCTTATCAAAGGTACGTATACATTTAAATGGGTTTGTTACCAATTAGACATTGAATGACTAAATAGCCCAGTTTTTTGTTACAACCGTAAGTGATAAAAAAGCTTTAAGAATTCAAACGGGTATCCATATTCATAATAACAGGTACGAACCATTATAAATTAACTTTTGAAAACTAAGTCTTTTTTATTCAAATGTATTGAAAAATTAAATCAAAGTTTTTTTTTCTTTTATATAATAAATCGTGTATTCATTCTAGGTACACTAAATGGAAGTATTTTGTTTAAAGTAATACAATACACATCTATTTTGTTTTCTTTTCAAATATCAACCCATCTATTTTGTTTCTTTTTTTTCTCAATTATTCAATGTAATGAATATAGCACATCCATGTACATTTTAACATGTAAATCATTAATTTAGTGGAATAACTTAATTCTATATAAGAACATGTCTTCCATTCTAATCCAGTTTTGTAAACATATTTGATATGTTTTGTATAAACTGTAAGATGTATAATATTTATGTATAATAGGATATGTCTAAACTAAATGAGACATATGCTTGCAATATATTTTACACAGAATTTTAAAACAGAGGTACCGAGAAACCGTCTCATTTTAACCCAGTTGAAAACAGTATTTCATCATATTTGATGACATAAACCTCAAAAACATATGTTCAGAGGCAAACAGTTTGAAAAATGATTGATGTTAAACCAGGATCTTTTGTATTATCTGATCTTCAATGTGTTACATCTCATTTTTAATACACTTATACATTGTTGTTTTATATACAGGGGTGTATGTTTGTCTGGTAAGATTATTCCCGTTTGTCAATTTTCTAAATCTACTTCTTGAAGAACCAACAGTTTGTATACTTAGTCTATTGAACTCGTTTGAAATGTTCATTCTAAATGGTAATAATACACTTTTGGTTTACAAAGGGCACATATTCCGTAAGTATTTCAATGTTGATAAGAACAAATGAAACGCATCATTGTTCTGTAATTAATACAATATTGAGGTGTTGAAGTACTGAATTGTACTTATAGATAGTGACGAATGACGTACAATATTCATTTGCTTATGATACTTTAGGTGTGCGTATTTACCCATTAAATTTCATAACAATAAACCACATCATTTTCGAACAGATATGAATACAATATTCATATAAAAGTAACAAAACTGAATATGATTTCAAAACAGTATATCTTTGTAGATGCGCAACAATGCAATTTGAGATTAGTTAATGTCAATTAGTTGCTGTTATCATTCATTTTGTTGTTAACAAAACTCAGATGATTTTTGTTTGCAAAATCAAAGATGCATTGTCTCAAACTTTAAACAGATTTCTTGAAGACAAATTTGTAATAGTTTATGAGCAAAAACATCATTATAAAGAACACTTAAAACAAGTCGTATCGGTTCATATGGACCGTTACTTTTTGTACGTATATCAATGTCATATGGCACAATTCAATATCCTATGTATTTTGTTTCTTTCGCCGCATATTGTACAGATTCAATTAGGGTAATGCTGCTTAAGTGCTTTAGGTCATAGCAATAAACTATTTGCGTCTAGTCGTATTTACGGTATATGTTTAATGTACATTTGGAAAGGTATGAATTGCGAAGCGGAACGAGTATGAGTTAACGTATTAACATGTATTAGATTGTATAAAGCTATAAATACGATCTAATACATGCTAATACGTTTCATCATACAATAACTTTTGTTTTAATAAACTCAAAAGAAAAGTAATTTGTTTTTCAAAAAAGTTGAAGATGGGCATTGACAACTCTTTGGCAAATCGGTTTATTCTCTCACAACAGGAGTATTCAGCGCATAATTAGACGAATTGAACAAAAGTAAACATAAAACTGGTGTAGTTTAACCACATGTTTAACTAATGCAAGTAGCATGACGCGAAGGTACTGCTTAAAACGTTTGGTGTAATATCTTTTGAATACCTGCAGCTGTCTTAGTATAAATACTGATCTGAAGTTGCTTTTTGTGGTCTACAGTTTATTTTGACCATATTGGAATAGTTTATTCTTGATATGGACGAGAAACGTGTTTTCTTTAGCTCAATGCAAGGTTACGTTGCAAAGAATTTTTTAAAAGTGAAAACATTCTTACCTAATTTAGCTATCCCGGCTGCTATCAAAAATACTGATATGATAAAAGGTGACTTCACGCGCTCAAATTGCCAACTTGCCACGTGCATGGAATGATGGACATGCTTAACGTGGCTCTCAGTACCATTTGTCTCGTTTGTATGGTTCGCTCCGGTTGGATCAGCTTCAGCGCCTTTAGTGTGCGTGCTCCGTTTTGCTATATCTACGTTATATCCATGATCATCTAGAAAATGTGACGGTTTTACCACATTTGAATGAATGCACACAATGATTGCGAATCCGATCAAAATCCGGTATTTTAATTTAAGACCCATACCCGTTTTAATATATAATCGTTCGCTGCCTAATAGTTATATGTCTAAACATCAATTTAAAACATTCTGTCCTATAATATCCCTTTTCCAGCTTACACAATATAATAAGGCGTAATGTCATTATAAAAATACTAATTATACTTTGACAAAATGCATTTTGTATTCAGCGTGTGGCACAAAATAATCCTTTAAATTTGATAAATGTACACTTCTAATATAATTTTCTTCTTTTGTTCAGGGAAAACACATTTCAATTTCTGTACAACTTTAAGCCAATATTCTCAAATTAAAGATATTTTCCACCGCAGGCTCAGTGTTTTCGATATATCTTCCCAACACTATCACAGTTATATACATAGTTCATAACTTCTGAAATGTAAACCTATTCATCTCTGTGACGGAAAAAACTCGCTAATGAGAGTTCTCGGTGCTGTCAATACAGTCCTTGTCCTGATATATGTCCGGATCGATATCGAATGTCTCTGCTATAAAACCTGAAACCACATCAAAAACATAAGTGTTAGAATAATGAATTCTATCAAAGATAATCATGAACCTAATTGTTTTATGACATAGTACTATTTATCGATAACTTAATCAATAACACAGTGAGAATATTTTTCTCACCCAAACTCTTAAAATCATGGCATGTATATCAAACATATAGAAATGTAAATACAAATTCAAATGAATAAAACGTTTTCTGATAGCGTTTGTGACACTTTCCAATACCATTTCAATAACTTAATCGTAATAGAATTGAATTTTCCCCTTTAAGTTAGATGCAGATCATACATGTTGAGCTAATTATTAAAGGGTCATTTGGATAAATTAAGTTTACAAATTATTATTATTTTATCTACTTTAACTATCAAATATAAAACCATATCTTTTTCGTATGAAACTTATCTATAATAATTTTTACTAAATGGCATACATTATTAAAGTGGTTGTTAGTTTATTAAATTTAAATTTCAAAGTTCCAAACCATATATACAGTGAACGAAACTTACATACAAATTTATTTCATACATTAAAAAGTTATATCTTAAATGTTGCTTTAATTAGTAAAAGAATTGACTTAATTCCAATTAACATTCTACTTTATCGTTATTCTTCAGATTATCACTTATTTGTTTTATTATTTTGTCAACATTCATAACACCCGTCTCTTTATGCCCTGGCAAATTAATGACACAGATATTAAAATGTACTACTCAAATCAAGCTCAAACGAAACTTTTGAAAATTCTAGCATGAAATTCTGTATAAATTCTACATATTTTGGGATTTTTCAAAATACATCTATATATGCTGAACGAATTCTAGACGCCGACAGAATCACCGAGTAGTTTTAAAACAAGTCATATGACTTGAACAAACCCTTGAAGATACCGCAACAACTATTGTCGATATTGTATCATTGAAACAAGGCTAAGCCATCCATTTGACATGTTCTTTAATGTTTCTTTGTTCACTGTAACAACTATTGTGAAATCTTAACACTCTAGCCTGATCCACGTGGGTCAAGTTAGGAAACCACAATTTTATTCTTTATAAGGAGTAAAAAACCATTTCCTGTGACTGCTTAGTGTATTTATTTTGATGACATTTACATAATAATGAATGAAAAATTCAAAACGAAGAAATGAAAATTTTGCATGTGTCTCCCTTTAAGTTTATGCCTTTAAGTCCAATAATTGTATGCATAACCAGAAAGGAAAGTAAATTAAGAAGGGTACAAGCAACCATCTCTATATAAGGACGGACAAACATCATAAGGCTGAATATTTCTGTATGGTGTGACGCTGATCGGGAGGAGACGGTAAAGTGGCTTGTTTCAACACTGAATAGCCTTTCTTCTTTGAATCAATAGAAACGTCATTATAGTTAGAGAAAATATGAATACTATAATGAATTGCTGTGAATAATAAGCTATTGCCATAGTAACAGATGCGATGATGTTTTATCCTTTCTATTTGATCTGATCATAATAGTGTTTAATCACATTTCTTTGTTTGACAAGCTATTAAGATGGCTCAATTCCGTGTCTTTTTCATAATGACCTCTTCATTTCTGTGATACGTCAGTTTTCTCTCTTTCCATGGGAGTACTTACAGATTTGATAGATAACACAACATTGTCATCTTGATAGAAGTTTTATTATTTATACTCAGTGACAAGTATTTTGTGATTGATCTTACACATTATATGGATTGACAAGATTTATACATCGATTGTTTCATTGTCCAAAAAGAAGACAACACTCGAAGTAAAGTTGAAGAATTCAACCAATTAATAGCACGATATGCTTTAACCAATTTGTATGTAGGCCTCAGTAGGTATTCTTCTCTTTCAGAAACATCGATTTAACAATGAAAAAAAGAAAGACCATAAAAAATAAAACAAAAACAAAAAACGGGTGATCAGACCAGAGCGCTGATGTGCTTTATTAAAAGAAGACAAACGCTACTTTCTGGGGGTAATGAAAGTGTTTTGAAGTCAGTTTCAAAGCAATTTGTCAAATATATTACAATATGAATAAGTTCTTGCGTACAATTTACTACCTTAAACATATATATAAATGATTCTCCTTTGTTGCACATATATTTTGTTTCGCAAAGATATACATGTATATGTATATAGTTTAATCTGTACCAATTTACTCACCACTCTATACTTTTATCAAATTGTCGAATATGTTGCTTTGAAATCATTTCTTCCAAATAGATTTCCATAGTTTACAGTATATTTCTTGAATCAAAGATACGAATTCAACAAGTGTTTTTCATAATTATTATGTTCGTCAGATTCTCATTCAAAGACCACACAAACACATACAAATCTTGGAAAAGGTTGGTCCCTTGGGGGCATTAAAAATAACAAAATTACTTGAAAATTACAGACTCCATATGATTAAGTCAAGCCTTTAAAGTAGTGACTGATCGCAAAGGTTAATTGTGTATACTTCGGACATTGAACAAGACGATTCGGGTTCATGGCTAATCTTATATTAATTAGAAAACACCGTAAATCCTCGTTAAAGCTTTTATATGCCTCCCTTATTAACTTTAAAGTCTAAGCCAAAATAAACTAGATAGTCCTTAAGCCGGTTTATATTTTGCTGTAAAGGGAAAAAACGACGAAACGTTATTTTATAGGTTTATGATATTGTTTTATAGATGTTTGATATTACTATTACTCTAATAGGAAAGCAATAACGATGTTCTTAATTCCCTGGTGGCTTTGATATTTAATATTTTCAGGAACATTTATTCTTGTAAACCTGTGTAATTATCGGAGCTATGCAGTTCTTGTTCGTAGAATAAAGATAAAAACAACAACATATCATTTAACAAGTTATTATCATCATAAAATGATTATAATTATCATAATTTTATAATATGCTGATTATATCAACATGTTTGCCCTCAGATAAAATTTATATACGATTTAGAACTTAAAATATATAAGAGCTATATCTATTGAAATAGTTTTATAACAATAAAAAGCTGTAAAATATGTTTCCATATTCTGATGGTCAAGTCTCGACATAGGTTTTACAATGACTCTTTTTTTACACAAATGGAAACTGTGCTTAAACAGGATTAAACGTTCCAAAACAAATTTTTTTTGCTGCCTGCTATTTTGCTTTTTTAAAATAGCAAAGATAATGTGCATGTACCGTTCGCTCAAAAGAATAATATACCAACGTAAATATTTTACAGAGGGATTTTTAAATATTATTTAAATTCAACATTTAGATAATAATTCTTTAGTGCAGACAAAATTGATATAGCTTTATGCATTTATTTAATTAGACACATCTGATTGTGTACTTTAATTGAATCATTATCACTAACTATACATAATATTTCGTATGTTTTCATTTCCATTTGTTCGTTTGCTAATTGTTTGATATAAACCAAGTATTAATGTGTGAGAGTATTCCAGTCACATACCAATACTTAATTGTCTAACAACTGTTTATGAACCTTGTACTAATTTGCTGCAATTAACTTGCTCATATATCTACAATATTCAAATATGTTTGACAAATTACGTTAATTGCAGAGATAAAATACCAATATCGTAATGTTGAGGAAAACGTGATCTGATCTACAATGAGCATAATAATGGCTTGTTATTACAAAACAGAACTGTTCTGTTCTGTTATTACATATGATATTTAATATTATCAACCTAAATATAAGTGGGATTTTAGACCCTCTATTATTATGGACCATTTCACTTTTCAAATAATGTCTACTCCTTAGTCACTAGCAGTCTTTTAAAATATTGATATAATAATACAACGTTTATCTTTTTGTTTTGTTTAATATTTGATAAATTTAGTATTCTTTTATTCAGTTGAATTACATATTACATATGTCTTGCATAAGCTATTGTCATAACGCGTTAATTTTGGGATTTATAAATTTATAAAATAAAATATTAGAATGCCATAAATGAAATGACAATCAGTTACCTTTTGAACACCATTTATTCAAAACAAAAAGAATACTGCTCTTTATATATGTTTACAAACAAATATTTACTCTACAATTCAATAAATTTTTGACAGTATTATTTACATAACTAGTAGTATAAAATTTAATGTATCCACTAAAACCTATTTATAAACACATCCACTACATACATGTACCTGTTTCTTGTAAACGCATTTGTAAATACCGACTTCCAATTGTCTAGGGTAATTCACTTATCACATGTAATCAATCAGTGTTGATTGTATACGATGTATTTTATCTTACATATCTTTCCTCATTCTAATGCTATCATTACTTACATCAAACACTTGCGTGCACCAGTATTTTCCTTACCTCCAGTGAAAAAGGCAAACGTATCTAGGTTGTGGAATAATAATTATACAATACAGTGTTGGCAAATTGTTCTCCCATTACAAGTTGCCAAAAGTATTTAGGTTTGCAGTAGGTTGCCATTGTGGTATGTAATGTACATTTTATTGTATACAGTATCTAACATTGTTGAAAATACTATTGAACTATTGGAGTCGTATAGTAATGTGTTGAATTTTTCAATGAGAATAGCTGCACAATTATATGAGCATTGTATATATTTAGCGAATATTCCCCTATAATGACAAGATTAACCATTATCCCATATCAACAATACACTAATGTACAAATATGTTACATATGAAATAGCATACATAATGGTTTGATACAAAATTGGAACTTATTGTGTATGCTTACAATAAAGTGTTAAACACTGGTTGCGAAGAATGATTAGTATACCAAATTAAAGGCTATTCAAATGATATACATTATATTATAAAATAATTGCATGATGAGATGATTGTTCTTTTAGGAATTCGACCATTAATAGAACAAATGTACAATGTTGCCATTTGGCACTTACAATATTTTCATAACTGTATATCTATATAAATCATTTTGGCCTACTGTTAAACCATTTTTAACAAATAAAGGTACTATTGTAAAAAAGGACATGATTTTATGTGAAAATGATATTCTAGTAAGTGATCAGTCCCAGGTGTGTGATATTTTTAATGAATTTTATGTACATGTTGCTAAGGACATTGGTGCAGACTCAATACCAATCAACAACAATCACCCTAGCCTTAATTCTATAAGAAATAATCTTAAATCTGATAAACAACTCAATTTTCAACCTGTAAATAATTCCTTCATTAGTAAACAGATTGATAAATTATCATCTAAAAAAGCAACCGGTCAAGATGGCATATCTGCTAAACTTTTAAAATTTTCTAAACCTTCAGTCGTGGAACATATTACTAATATGGTTAATCTGAGTTTCCAGTCATCCATCTTTCCTGATAGTCTTAAAATAGCTCAGGTAGTTCCGGTCCATAAGAAAAATAGTACTCTAGATAAAGGTAATTACAGACCTGTTAGTATCCTTCCAATCTTATCTAAAATCTTCGAAAGGTCTATTAATACCCAACTAACTGACTTTTTCAATGACCATTTTAATACTTACTTATCTGCTTTTAGACCAGGTTACGGCTGTCAAAGCACTCTACTTAAAATTACTGAAGACTGGAAAAGATCACTGGATGAAAACAAATACATAGCAGCTATTTTAATGGATTTGTCAAAAGCCTTTGACTGCCTACCCCATGACCTCCTTCTCATGAAACTTAGATGTTATGGGGTCTCCGACCATGCCCTAGATTTATTAACTAATTATTTAACAAATAGGAAACAATGCGTCAAACTTGGATCAAATTTAAGTTCTTTCAAAGATATTTATAAAGGGGTTCCTCAAGGTTCTATTCTAGGCCCAGTATTATTTAACATATTTTTAAATGACATTTTTGATTTTGTACACAAATGTGATCTTTATAATTATGCAGATGACAACACTTTATCATGCAGTGACACAAACATTGACAATGTTGTTGAATCTTTAGAGTCAGATAGTCAGTCATTAATACAATGGTTTTCGGACAATCATATGAAAGCAAACCCCGACAAATTCCAGGCTATTGCTATTGGTAAAAAAACTAGGGATCAAAATATTAGTTTCAATTTAAATGATAGTACAATCCAATGTGATGAATCTGTTAAACTTCTAGGGGTAACTTTTGATTTTAAACTCAAATTTGATAATCATATTTCTGATATCTGTAAAAAAGCCTCAAAACAACTAAACGTGCTAAAGAGAATAGGTAAAAATTTATTTAAATTGGGGAAATTGAACATATATTACTCTTTTATACTATCAAACTTTAATTACTGCCCTGTCACCTGGCACTTCTGTGGAGAAATGTACACAAAAAAACTAGAGAAAATTCAAGAAAGAGCATTAAGATTCATTTATGATGACTATCAATCAGACTATGACTCACTTTTAATAAAATCTAAACTACCAAATTTAAAACTAAGACGAATCAGAACTATAGCCCTCGAAATTCATAAAATTATTCATAAACAAGGACCAACATACTTACATGATCTTGTTAATATAAAATCTCATTCTTTTAATTTTAGGTATAAAAATGTAGCCATTATCCCTCAGGTAAGAACCACCAGTTATGGCAGCAACTCTTTTCGTTCCTATGCACCTAAACTATGGAATTCACTTCCTCAACACCTCAGAATGGAAGTGAATTATGACCAATTTAAAAGTCTAATTGGTGCATGGAATGGAGAGAGTTGCTCATGTACTTTCTGTCAATAAACCTGCATTATAGTTTAGCTCCATCTTCAGTTTTGTTTCTTGCCTGCTTTCTTTTGTTTTGCTGCTTACTTACATGTATCTGTTTATTTCACATTTGGCTTAAATTTTGTTAATATTCTCAACATAAATGATTATGTACATGTATTATTTTTCCAGTATGCTTGAATTTTTGTTTGCTTATTGTCAGCTTTTTGCGAAGTTTGCTTATTGAGGAGGCTGCTGATCACTTCTTACAAATTTTGTATTGGGGATTTTTATTTATAAAACCTAATTAGTGGTAACAGTTTTGTGATCCTTTTCATTTTCAATATCATATTTCCTTTCTTTTATAGCAGTCCAGGCTAGGCCTGGGTCAAGATCAGCAGTATCCACCCACTTTTAATGTAATCTTATTTTATGTATGTGCTAATATATTCCGCATTTTATCTAGATATATATCTTTTTATTCACTTATGATACAGTATAGAACTTTTAAGCATATCCTTAGCATATCATTACTATTTATTAATTATTATTATTTTATTTTAAATTATAACATTTAATGTCTACATCCCATATTATAGTAATTTAACTTATCTTTTACCATTTGTCTTTCAAAGTTTAATATCTTAATGTGCTTCTTTTATGAGTTTTATGTTTATATCATTATGCATGTATGTCGGTCAAAAGCTATACATAGCTTATGTTTTGTAAAATGTTATATATATACCGACAATAAATAAATTTTGATTTGATTTGATTTGATTTGTATTAATAATATAAAAGTGCAACATAATTAATTATAATAATTCGTAAAATCAACATGTCGATCTCTTATGGGAAGGTAAATTAAAACATAACTAAGATGGTCGATATAGCTTTATAATCAATCAAAATGTTTTTTCCAAATATATTTTAACCTAATATATATTTCGTTTAGAATATTTCCATTGCATGATATTCCATATTTATACTGCTAGAACAATTCATGGTCTAAATGACTTGTAATTAAATGGAGGTTTATAACGGCTTAGACAAGTACGATGTATGTTAAAGAAGAAATTTCTAACGATGTTTAAGATAAAATGAAAATTGTAAGTTTTGCCACATTTGCAGGTAAAGTACCCTCTGACAACAACATCAACTTAAAAGTTATGTTACAATTCTGACAATATAGCCTGAGCATTTCATAAGTTTACCATAAAACGCTCTTTTTGAGCGCCGACGCCCTATGAATATGCATAACACAGATGCGTATTTCCTATTTTTGTACAGGTCAATGTTTGCTTTATACAATGCGTATAGCTTATACATAGTTCAATGTTTTCCACACGTTTTTAAAAGTTCAAAAGTTTAGGCACTTTTACTGTTTATGATACCTTAGGTGTATACATCGATATAATAAAAAATAACTCTTTGATAGAGGGGTATCTGTGGCCGAGTGGTTAAGGTCGTTGACTTCAAACCACTTGCTCCTCACCGCTGTAGGTTCAAATCCCGACACGGATCTTGAATTTTCATATGAGGAAGCTATCCAGCTAGCTTTACGGAACGTCGGTGGGTCTACTCATGTATCCGTTCGTGTCTGAAATAATGCACGGAAGGGCACCTGGGATCTTCTTCCACCAGTAAAGCTGGACCGTCACCATATGACCTATACTGTGTCAGTGTGACCAAAAACCCAATTAAACAAATAACTCGTTGATAACTCTTTAATAATTGCTCATAACAGAACTAAATCATATTATTAAAAACGTAGAAGGGAGTAAAATTCAAGAATAAAACTATTAACTATAATGATCATTTTATAAATTGAAACTATCTACTATTACTCAATTCTTTCTTAAATTATACCTGTTCACACTCATTCCATCCGCTATTGCAATAATGCAAATACATTATATAATTAACAAAACACATTCATGTAAAATACATGATCTGACATTAAACATTTACAAATAAAATGATACATGTATATCAAAAGAGATACTAACGAATAAATATGTTATATACCTTATTCTGAAAGTACACGCGTTAGTTCCGCATTTCCTACTTTCCTGAGATAAATCACTTATTGCAATTCATACTTCCAAATTAACGTTATTGTAGTCAATTATAGAGATCATTCGGCAGTGCACTGTCTTTACACTCATACAGTTCCTACCTGTACAGAAAAATATAGGTAAACAATTATATACCACACTACAGCAATTCCTAGCTGTTTTTGTTTTCCCACTACTGCTTACAAAAAGGTATGTATATCGGTTACATGTTAAGCGCTCGTTGTATTGGAGGCTCTATTTATTGCATACTCGGTCGTATTAAGTGAAGTAGTTTCAAGTATGAGGAAATACCAATTCGTTTATCTGAAATCCGATTCATATTTAAAATTTAAGCAATTACTAGTATATTTATGTACAATTAAACACAATGTGTGGATTGTAAATTGTATTTATTCGCCGTGAGATAATAAAAAAATAATAATTCGTATATTTTAACAAAAAAAAAAAAACATAGATAAAGAATATATAACATTAAACAACTAAAATGGTCGAAATAGTTTCCCGTTTGAATATTGATACATGTAAAACGTGTGCATAAATCAACTTTTCACAAGAAACTAATATCAAAAACTGATCAATACCACGAGCATGACAATAACAGCTTTAGCAGATATCGTTATTTCTAGTCTACGAAAAGTTTTAGGTAAAAGAAATCTAAACCTTCACGCATAAACATATAAGTTACATTTTTTTTATTTGGTTTGAATAAATGTGAAATATCAATACAAACTTGTATAAAATTCTTCAAGGATATGATTAAATAAAAAATAAATAAATAAATAAACAAATAACAAATAACAAATAAAAAATAAATGAACAAACAAAAACAAATAAATAAATGACTAAACAAATGAATAAATAAATAAACATCAGCGTAAAAAGGACACACATATTTAAAGGGCAATGAAATCTACGTTCATGTTAACTTTCGACACAGAAGCCTTACTTACAATTCAGTGTCACTTTTAAGTATTCCTGTTATTGTGAAATATTTCGGTTTGTTATATATTCCTCCCTCCAACGCGTCATTCCAGCTTTGCAACTGCTTTTTCAAATTGTAATTACGTTGACACGATTTTTATTAGACAGAAAGTCACATTTTATAGACTTTAATATTTCAATGACGAGAAATTCAATGGATTAAAAATATAAACACAGAATCAATTCTTGTATCTGCAATCAAATAATTTAATCAATGCATGCTTCATTTTATCGATTATTCGTTTAAAATACACAAACAAGATCAACAAGTAAAGGCGGCGTTCAATGAACGCAACCCCCACACGACCCAGCAACAAGAACCAGTGATAAGGAGCCCAGACGGACCCCACACAAAAACAGGACAGGGCACAAGGCAGAGCACGGACAGGCTAATCACTGAAATGATAAATAATTTGCAACTGATAAGGAATTCAAAGAAAACAAATAAAATGATTGAATAATAGGAAATAATTTGTAACTGACAAGGACTTCAAAGAAAACAAATAAATGATTGAATAAAAGGCTCACAAAATTAACGGACACAGGGGAAGGGGACAGGAGACCCGGGGAAGGGGGTGTAAATTAAAGATATAAAAATAGGAACAAAGGGGAAGATAAGTCACGAAAAACAGAGAAAAACAAAATCCCTAAAGAACGCCTAAAACATTAAATTGAATATGTAACAGCCCGGTTTGATTATGCCAGAATGCAAGCTTACGCCCACCCCCAAGCATCGGTTTAAGCATTATCAAAATGAACTTGTGTGTTGCAATACCATTTACACTATGCGGTATATCTTTGAAGACAAAGTGCTTTCACTCAACAGCAGTTAATGATTTACATAAACAACATATATAAATAAGAAATTAAATACATATTACGTTTTGAAATATCACATATTCATTGCAAGTTTATTCCATTTACGTTACTAAATGTTCATATATTAGCAGTACAGGGTGCTCTTTTAAAACCATGATAATCATTAACTGTCATTGTAACCATCTGCAACTCTTTTTTTATCATTTTATTTTTGTTTGCCACCTTGAAACATACACACAAGCAGAATTCTTATTTATTAAACAATTATAGTACTTTTTAACAACATGCTCTGCGGTGGTAATTGAGTCTGGACGAAGATTTATGCAAATATATTGGAAGTGGTATTTGATTGATGTGTTTATTATTTATAAGAAATGCAATTATCTTTTCTTAAGAAATGCCTTCCATCGCTTTAAGTTAAGCTATTTACAAGCTGATGAAAATGTATGGTAAAAGATGTATTGATCTATCATTAACAATTCAAGAAACGTGGGGGGGGGGATCCCTCGGGATCAAGGAATACAAAAATAAATGTTAGAGATTGTAAAGCTAGTTTGATTAAGTTTGTACATGGGAGACAGTGAAAAGTGCAATCTCACACAACTTCCAGGCAGGATTCAATCATCAACGACAAAAGTATTGGAATGTGTAACTAAAAAGATTCAACAACACTGTAGAGGAGTATCGGGTACTTTTAAACAGCTGCCACGCAAAACTTAATATCGACGATTTCGAGTTATCATAGTACCCGCAAAGGGGGAGAAAAATAACAATAAAACATTCAGTCTTTTGTGTTTAGAAACTGTTGTAAAGAAATCAACAATTATGTGCGTAAAGAATGCCACACATCGACATTGTACAGAATCTGCATACCTGGAATCCTAATAATAAACGATGAAATATAAGATAATATAAGATGTTACAAATTGATTATTATCATCGTGAATGATATGCTATTACGAATATCAAAAGGAAACAGTCAAAATTAAGATGTATTATACTACACTGAACATTATTTGATTGAATTGTTATGCAATTGAAACGCTGATTCCATGTGTCATAAAACTGACATAACCCTTTTCCGATATAGCAATAATCTAAGAACTAAAACAAAAACATCAACAAAAACAACAACAACAACAACAAAAAATACCACATAATAATCATTATCATGATAAATTAGAAATAAATGTTTCTGTTTTTTATTTCATTGGAACTGACGATATATACACACGAATAAGCGGCTTTTTATTTATCTTATGCCACTTCAGACAAGCTTTTAGACACTTTCTGTTCTATTTTGTATGGCGTCGGAAATCATTTATGTAATATTATTGCACTGTATCTTGCAGCCTACGAGAATGCTCGGACCGTAATTTTTCATCAAGACTTAAATGTAAACACTGTGTATATGTTTTAATGTGCGTGAGACACAATTCATTGAATTTAACAAATTCCTAAACCGTTGTTCGTGTCACAGTGTTAACCATCAACAGACATAGTTATAACATATCATTGTAAACTAATAAATACTTGAGACAATTGACATCAAATTTATTCAATAAATTATGTTTCCTGGTGCATTAAATTTTCGGAGAGTGCTATATCATATCTAAGAAGTATTGGCACTTTTGTTTGGTAAATGTTTATTTAGCAGAATGTCATATTAATTTTACAGTTTCTGTTGACATGTACACTGTTAACATTTGAAACTAATTATGATTTTCGGAACTTAGGTGTTTTTTTCAGTAAAAAACAAACATAATTTAACATAACACGTACACGTGTCGTAAACCTACATCTAGACAAAGTATACGATGAAACGCAATTTCCGGATATTTTGTTTAAGTGGAAATTTGAAAATGACTACGTGTATAACTATTAATAAACATTGCATATAGATACAAATACTATGCCACTTAATGAAGTGATTATAAATGTCTATAAATAATGTCACTCGATAAATATATACAAGGTTTTGTTTCCTACTAATAATACTATTATAGACTGATCTATAGTTTTAACTTGGGGAACTATATTTCCACTTTGTACAGTGTCTTTACTACACAGACAATCTTTAACTGATCTGCATCGTGTGCAACACGCAAAAATAATGTCCATAATAAATTTTGCACGTTTGAATGTATCATTTGTTTTTTCTGACAAAACATTAGGAAGTGATGACAATGACGTCACAGAAACTCCTGATCAAGCAGTTTTCAAGTTAGTTATCTCATACGGAAATCATTATTTATTTCCCTGAATATATGTTAGTTTTTATTTTCTTTTGTGTTTTAAGTATTTGATACACTTGAAGATGTTGCTGGGAAAAGCTTTGCGAACGTTTTCACCTTAAATTATTAGCATATGAGCCACGCAATGACAAAACCAGCATAGTGCGTTTGCAACCTTCATGGATCTAGACCAGCCTGCGCATCCGTGCAGTCTGATCAGGATCCATTTTGTTCACTATCACTTTTTCAACCTGTAATTAGGTTTGTAAGCGAGCAGCATGGATCTTGATCAGACTGCGCAGATGGCAGACTGAACTGGATCCATGTTGATCACAAACGCTCTATGTTGGTTTTGTCATGGCGTGGCTCATATGATGGGCATTCATAACCTTAGCAGTATTATTCCATGTTGTCAGTTTTCATATAACATATTTCAGATAGCATATTGAGCAAATTGAAAGATAACTTTACAGACGTGCAAACAAGACTGTCAAGTGTGAATATAAAAAACAACATAGTTTGTAATATAATGCAGTGTAAGTCAATGTTAACGCCTTACAGATCCTGTATGTTGTAATTAATGTGATAACAACACTTAGGTAAAATTTCATATATGTATATAATTATGCTTCTAAAACAATTTCCGAACATCCAAACATATGTTAAATATGTTTAAACGCATTATATGTAATCATTAAAAAAACATATGCTTTCATTTCTTATTGAAAAAATTGGCTTAGACTTAATAGAAAATAAATTTCTAATTACCTCCCTTTATTTACATGAAATATAAATTCGGTAATATCTTTACAAATAAAGCTTTTTGGAATTTACAATATTGATAAATCTTCATTTGAGCATAATATTTATGATATAAAACCATAAAGAAATTGCGTTACAAGATCTTTAAAAATAAAATAGCCTCTGCATGTACACATAACGAGACAAAAAGTTGATTGTGTACACACATTCCACACTGAATCTTAAACATAACATAATATGTCGAAATTGTTTTCTTCTTTTAAAAATTAATCACCAACTACAATTATTTAAATATCACATTTTTAATTTTTTTTAAATGAAATAAATCAGTCATTCCTTCCTACTTAGTCACATTTTATTTATCTTATG